ATAAAGCAAATATTAAGTGAACTATAATGAAGAAGTGTCAACCTATGAACCAGGTGGTCATGGTTCAATTCCTGGTCAGGGCACATGCCCAGGTTTCCGCTTGATCCCCAGTAGGGGGCATGCAGGAGCCAGCCAATCAATGACTCTCTCATCATCAATATTTCTATCTTTCTCTCCCTCTCTCTTCCTCTCTCTGAAATCAATAAAAACATATTAAAAAATAAAAACAAAAAAGAGTATTAAGTAGCCCTGGTCAGGTGGCTCAGTTGGCTGGAGAGTTGTCTCGTTTCTCCAAAGTTGTGGGTTCGATCTCTAGTCAGGGCATATGTCAGAAAGTAACCAGTGAATGCGTGGATAAGTGGAACAACAAATCCACATTTCTCTAAAAATTAAAAAAAAAAAAAAAAAAAAAGGATGTTAGGTAAAACAGGGTGCTGGTAGCAAATATTTCCTATTTACAACATTAGCCACTACACACTAATTTCATACAAACCTTCTCTTTGTCAGCTGGCACGGCTCAGTGGCTGAGCGTCCACCTATGAACGAGGAGGTCACAGTTTGATTCCTAGTCGGGGTACATGCCAGGATTTCCAACTCCAGCCCCAGTAGGGGGTGTGAAGGAGGCAGCCTATCAATGGCTCTCTCATCACTGATGTTTCTATCTCTTTTTCCCTCTCCCTTCCTCTCTCAGAAATCAAAAATAAATAAGTAAATAAATAACAAAAAAACTTTCTCTTTAGGTTGGAAACTCTTCTAACCCTACTCCAACACAGCAGGCATCTCACCACAACCCAGACTGAGTCCCAGACTCAGCTTCCAGGACCACCCTACAATGAGTGGAGACACTCATTTTTCCAAGAGCTTCGCATCTAAGAGTACAGTGTAAGATACCTCAGAATAACAGAATTTCAACACAATAGACTAACCTGCTGTCTGACCAGTTTAAAAAACAAAAAAAACACACACCTCTAAAGACATATTCAACATCTCTTCTAAAAGACGATATGGAAATTTCTTACTCTTCCTCAAAATGTCATAAAAACTACAACTTTGATCATAGTAGGAGTTAACTGAATGGCTACTATAAAGTCAGTTCATCTGAAATAACTGGAATTAAGTGTAAAACCCTTGCTTTACAGACACATATGTCACTGAGACCCTCTCAAGCCTTCAGATGGTTACTTTCAAAGCTAAACTCACCTGGCCAAGAGGTCCCAAGTTCAATTCCCTGTCAGGCCACACGCTTGGGTTGCTGGCTCAATTCCCAGTAGGGGGTCGAGCAAGAGACAGATAATGGATGTTTCTATATCTCCCTCTCTCTTTCTCTTAAAAATAACTAAACTCAAGGGCCACTCTGACAGCCAGTAGTAGTGATCTCATTTTCCTCTGTTCACTTGAGATCAACAAGAATGAGCTAGGTAAAATGAATTTCTACCAGATGGAGACAAAGTCAAACTTCCACAAAAAGCTGGAGGAAATAAAAGGAATTACTGTTTTACCTCTGCACTTCAGACCTCCTAACCTAGTAAGTGTCTAAGTATGCTCAGTGTTGAAAAGTTACCATAACTTTACTTGACATGCAACACTGAAGTGTCCTGCCCTTCCTTAGGGTACACAACAAAGGCCAGATGGCAACTTTTCCTCCCTTTCTGCAGAGAGACCAAGCAGGGTTTTACACCCACTTCAATTCCAGCCAGTACTGAAATCATCCTCACCTTTAGTCTCAGAGGCTAGGTGGCCTTTGTTTTATCTTTCATAAAACCTAACACGGTGCCCTGCATATAGTATACACACCAGCAACCTTATCTACAAATCTCCTAGTAATTTCATTTAAGTTTGTCTTTTTTATAAAAAGAATGTTTATGGCAAAACCTAATCTTTAGACACTTGATACCATTGTGATGCTAACTGGAGAGTGTATCAGAAACGGAAGCTAAATTCTAAGTATCTATTCTTATCAACAACCTCAACTCTACTCAGCCCAAACCTAGGAATGGTTCAATTCATAGGAAAATGGATAGTCAATGTCGACAATTAATTAAAAAATTAGGCCAAATATCCCCTACATTAACTTTGTTTGATTTATGCTGGTAGCTGTCTTCTTTGCTAAAACACATCAGTAACTGGTCAGTCCTGAAACTGGTCTCAAGTGATATTCAGGTTGCTCAAGGCTTTCCTTGGACAGGCCATACCTACTTTCTAAACTGCACTTGAGAAGAATTTTCTTTCTTTTTGAATTGATGGGGCACTTTAATTTGCCTGGAGGGCAATTTATGATTTCAAGAGTTAATACAAATGATGTCTTAAAAATTGCTGATGTTTACAGACAAGGTATAAAGACCAGTATTCAGGGGAGGACACCCTGACTAAAGTGGCTGGCTGGGTGGAGGACCTTCCTCCTTTGATGGGGGGGGTGTCTCTTCCAAGACTCCTAAGTCATTGTAAACAACAAGGTGACATGCTCCCAGAGCAGTTCCCATCTTGAGAGGACAAAACCTAGGCTTTGGTGTTACAGTCTAGGCTCAAATTCCAACTATGACTTGCCACATACTAAGCTAGGCAAACTCAGGCAGGCTGTCACATCTGTATAGACAGGGTTATTTGTGAGCAGTCAATGAACAACACATGAAGAGCATCTAGTAGTTCTTTGGCTTATAACTACTATTTATTAAAGTATCTGCTATAATCAATACTACCACTACCTTTACTAATAAAAGTAGGGTCCGTTCCAAAAACAACATAGCTCTGAGTTCTTACCATTTCTACACAAATAAGTGCCTTCATAATAAAATTCTATTAAGAACCACCTTGTAGTCTAAAAGATTGTAATATTAACATGTAATTATTACTCCAATGACCTTAATGCTTTCGTCTTTGAAGAGTAACGATTTCTAATAAATCATCCACTGTTCTTTTCACTGTGAGTGCTGGAAAGCGTAAAGAAAGAATACTGGGCGGTCTGCGAGTTGTACACAGTTCTATTCTACCTGGTTCCTCTTTTAAGTTTATATTAAAAAAGAAACTAAACTTGCAAAATATGCTATCATTATAGAAGTCTTGATATATATTGAATACTAATAGAACTACTGTGTCAAAGTTAGATTTCAAACAATAATCAGATTAAAGTATCTACAAAAGCCTGGAGGTGGAAAAAAAATCTAGTTTCACCTTTTGAAGACAAGCCTCAAAACAGTTTACTAGGGGGCATGACCTTACAACAAAGAAAGATTTGTAGTAGGAAAGAGGCAAAATGAGGTCTCTGCATTTTTTTCTCTTATTAGTGTACAGATGTCTGTTCAAATCAAGCTTTGTGAGAGAGTTAAATAACAATTCCATCAGATGAGTTGTGAGATAGTACCTGAGATACAATTCTGGCCTACTTATGGAACTATTCCAGTAATAGTCAAATGAAAAATCCACAAACATTCTGGTAATCATTTCAAATACTCATTTCCATATTTTTGAAACCCCATCACACACAAAGTACTTGCCGTGTAAAAATTTTCCCTGCAAAATGTAAATCTACCTATATCATCGCTTTAAAAGTTACAGATTTAGAAAATTGCACAGAACTATACATTTTCATGTCAACTTAGCTTAAAGAAAAAACGTGAATATAGGCGTCAAAAGTTGTTTTGTTTTTAGAACCCCTCCTTTTACTATGTGAGGTGCTAGATCTTTCTGGCCTCAGTTCTTTCATTTGTAAAATGAAAATATTTCTTCCCTGCCTCCCTCACAGAGGGTTTGTGAGGCTCCCATAAGATATGAAGCACTCTGAAAAACTCTCTAACAAGTGTTAGCACAGCATTATTTTTTCTAAGTATATTTCTATCAATTTCAGAGAGAGAAGGAGAGGGAGAGAGAGATAGAAACATCAATGATGAGAGTCACTGATCTGCTGTCTCCTGCACACCCCCTACTAGGGATCGAGCCTGAAACCCAGGCGTGACCACCTGGGTCCTGGATTGATGCTCAGCCACTGAGCCATGCTGGCCAGGCTGTATACCATTATTTTTGTTTGTTTGTTTTTAAATATATTTTTACTGAAAGAGGAAGGGAGAGGGAGCTAGAGAGAGAGAAACATCAATGATGAGAATCAATAATCAGCTGCCTTCTGCAAGCCCCCTGCTGGGGACTGAGCCAGCAACCCAGGTATGTGCTGTGACCGGAAATCAAACACAGGTCTCCTGGATCGTAGGTCAAGGCTCAACAGCTGAGCCATGCCAGCTGGGCAGCACACCATTATTAATAAACTCAAAGGAAGCCCTGGCAAGGTAGCTCAGTTGGTTAGAGCACTGACTTGTGCACCAAAAGGCTGCAGGTTCAATTCCTGGTCAGGGCACATACCTAAGTTGCAGGTTTGATCCTTGGTCGGGGCTAGTATGGGAGGCAACCTATTGATGTTTCTCTTTCCTCCCTCCCTCTCTCTCTAAAATCAATAAACATACCCTCGGGCGAGGATAAAAAAAATTTAATATATAAATTCAAGGGGACACAACAGTAATGAAAACTTTTCCAGAACTTTGTTTACATGTAGAATTTTAATTATTTTAAAGATAATAGGATCACTGTAACAGATTTAGGGCAAAATGTTCCAAAAATCTCTGAACATTATAACTATATGGAAGGAAGAGACCCAATAACTGATCTTGATAAGAACTGTACTGAGTTATGCTCCTTGGTTGTGTAAGAAAATAAAGAGTAATTTGGGGAGGGGCAGAGACAGACTAAAGATAAAGATGGTAAGTGTAACGCTACACATCGGTCTAGGTCACTCTACTGGGATTATGAACAATAAACTTGTCTTTACATATTTAAATTATTTTAAAAGAGAGCAGGTAGAGAGAACTTCATCAACATTAAGACCACCACATGGAAGTAGAAAAATCCAAGTGAAAAAAGTACAACCTACACTCTAAAGTCCTAACACAGGCCTAAAACAAACAAACAAACAAACAAAACAATGAAATTCTATTCTGAATATCCAAGGTAATACTCACTGAAAGCAGAAAGTGTATATTGCCAGGGGAACAGCTATAACAGAGGAGGGGAGCTATTTTGTCTCTGAAATGAATTTTCTTCCTTCCGATTCCATTCCTTCTTCCTGTACCTAAGATGGAAATGCAGGTGCAGTGAATGAACAAAATCAAGGTAGTGTAGATGTAAGAGATGGTTTTTGAAAACTACAACTCAACAGAGCAATTTCTAAAAACACAAATAGCTAAGAGACAGGCTGGCTCTCTTTACTACAAAACATTTCAAAATCTAAATATAAGGTGGCAATGGCAGTCCCACACACTGAATCACCTCATCCTTGGCATCATCACCAAGAAGTGAGGACACTGAGGATCAAAGGTTTTACTGAACCTGAACATGAGATACACATTAAAACTTTCTCCACCACTAATTTAGATCAAAACTTGCTCTCAGGGCAAGATATACCATTTCAAGGCTCTCCACTGGTTTCAGAATACAAACATATTTCCAAATCCTCTGCTGCAAAGATGGTGCTGAAGAATTACTGGACAGCAGGCCAGGGTCCTGCGGACATGCCACCTCGTTACCCCAGGTGGAGATGCTAACTGTTGGTAAGAGTCATCCATCCTTACACTTAGTCTCGCATAAATCTCCCCACCCCCTAATAGTAGGGCACTGAGCTACTCCCAGTGATGTAAACAGGAGACTCCAGGCCCCACCCGCTCCGCCCGAGAAGAGGGCAGTGAAAGAGGATCGGCCCACAGGGACGGGGTAGGGTGGCACAGCGAGGTCAGGTCAGGACGCGGTGGGGAAGGGCAGGGGATGAAGGGCAAGCCCCAAGCCTGGGAAGGAGAGAGGTATAAAGTCCAGAGAGTAGAGGGGGAAAGACAAAGGAAATGGGGGCTATAGGTGGGCAAAGGAAGAGAGACTGAGGGTGGGGTTGGCCAAAAAAAACACCAACAAAACAAAACAGGAAGAGGAGTGCGCGCGAAAGAGTGAAGCAAGAGGACGAGACGGAGAGGGGAAGGAGAGGCCGGGG